CCTCCCTTCCGCAGCGCCTTTTCTGGACTGTGCCGCGTGCGGAAACAGCGGCCTCACCCCTCCCCACACTGCCCACTGGGCCCCTCTGCTGGAGCCTGGCGCTAGGGCGGATGCTGAACTACCCAGAGGGCAGTGCCCACCAGCCTGGGCGGGGTCCCTGCACCTGTCCCTGTGACCCTGGGATCACAGCCCAGCCAGCGGGAAGAAAGGCACCACCCAGGTGGGCCTGGGGAGACCCCCTGGGCCCTCGGAATCCCCTGAGGGCCGGCTCTTCTCCGAGTCCCCTAGGCAGCCCAGGCAGGAGAGAGGGCACCCTGGTTGACACCAAGAGGGGCCCCCATTCCAGACACTGGGCTGTTTCCAGGCTGGGCTCCAGGGGCCACAGCCTGTGTGTCTGCGTCAGTGTGTATGTGACAAGTCCTCCAATAAAGGGCCCACCCGGCTTCCTGCTGCTCCACCTGCCTCCATGCCTCTGTGCTTGTCCCAGGAACGGGCCATTCCCAGCTCAGGTGAGGGTTCAGCACACAGGGCTCCGAACTGAAAGCCCCAGGACACATACGGCTGGTGGCCAACAGGGCTGGGCCTGTGTCTGGCTGTCCCTATGACCCCACAGCCCCCTTCCATGAGTGTGCTCCTTGGGCCTGGCTCACAAGCCCCTCTTGGAACAGAGTCCAGCCCCAACCTCAGTCCTCAGCTCCCAGGGTGGCTCCGGCCCTCAGCCTCTTTCTTGCTTTCTCTTTGCCCTTGTGACAATGTTCACAGTCCCTCTGGGGCTCTGCGGCCCATGCCCAGGCCTCACAGGCCAGGCTGTGCTGCTGGAGAGGGACCTGTGGTGGCCCTTCCCTCCGCCCGTCAGCCCCCACCTCCAGGCTTGCTTCGCACAGAGCTCTGCCCTCGCAGGCCACCTTTGCCTTCATCCAGGGCGGGAGGGAGGCACGGGCCTTGGCCACACCTGGCTTCCCAGCAGAGGCTGGCCCAGGAGGGGTCTCAGAGGGTCTCACGGCAAACCCCGCGGCAGGACTGAGCACAAACAGCCAGTCTGGGAAGTGGGGTTCCCCTGGGGCAGTGAGGGAGCCATGAGGGGCGGCTGCCACAGGGACACTGGCCCTGAAACCTCAGGGGAACCTGGGGAAGAGTGAGTCCCCAGCCCAGGGGTGAGTGAGCTGGCCTGCGTGCCCTGCACCCCGAGTTCATTCCTGCTTCCCAGCCTGCCAGCGCCCACCCTTCCTGGGAGGATGACCAGACACCTGCTGTGGGGGCCTGGACACTGAAGTTTAAGGAAGTCCTAGGGGCGGGAATTAGGGAGCAGGGCTTGCCCAGGGCGTTTGCTGAGGGAGGCAAAGTGTGACAGTAAAAAATAGATATTTGTCCCTGCCCTGGGTCCTGACAGGGAGCTCCTCCATCCTTGGCATTTCCTAGTAAAAGGAGTGTCTTTGTTCTCATGAGGAGACTCTGGGTGGGCTCCTGGTGGCATTAGGATGGGACTGGTCACCAGAAGGACCCAGGGTGATTGGAGGCTGGGAACCTTCAGCCCCACCATCCTCAATGGATTGAGTTCAGGATCCATCCTGCCTACGTGAGAACCTTCCACAAACACCCCGAACCACAGGCTCCAGAGAGCTTCCAGGTGGTGAATGTGTCCACGTGCTGGTGGGGGATGTGCCCCAACTCCTCGGGGACAGAAGCTCCTGCTCCCAGGGCTCTTCGGGACCTCACCCTGCGCTCCTCACCAGGCCGTTCACCTGTGTCCTCTGTCACATCCCTTATAGTCAACAGGGAAATGTAAGTAAGTGTTTTTTCTGAGTTCTATGAGCTGCTGCAGCCAATTGTCAGACCTGGGGAGTTATCAGGGAGCCCTGGCATACTGCTGGATGGCTAGAAATGGGGTGGCCCGGGCGCCACGGGCATCCGAGGTGGGGGCCATCCAGCGGGACTGAGCCCTTGACTGAGGGGTTGTGGGCCTGTGCCGACCCCAGGTAGTTAGCGTGAGAACTGAACTGCGTGTGGGACACCCAGCTGGTGTCGAAGGGGCGGGCGTGGTGTGGCGTGTGCAGGGGCCTGGCCACCCACAGTGTCCGGAGCACATTGCCAGCGCCTGGGGCTCGAGCCTTCACAGGGAGAGCAGCCCCGGGAGGTGGCAGGATGGAGACCTAGGGAGGACCCTTCAGCCCTCCCATGCAGGACACGTCCAGGCCGGGTGTCTGCGACAGAGGTGGCACAGCCCTTTGCTGGGACACTAGAACACTCCTTCCATGGCCCTGTGACCATGCGTCCACGGCTCCCCGACAGGGCCGAGTGAGCCATCCCCATCCTGGGCGCGGCACACACACAGGTCAGACGCACAAGCCCCAGGGAGGAAGCCTTGGGCGGGACCCAGTCCCGGCTCCGCCACCCGCCCTGCTCAGCGACTGGGGTGCCTTCGCTATCAGGGTTAGAGGACGCGCCCACGCGAAGGGCGACTGCCCTGCCCGTGCACAGTCGGCACTTAGTAATGGCCAGGCGGCCCCTTAGGCCAGGGTCTTGGAAGGCACCTGTGTGTCCCCAGGCGGCCCAGGACTCGTGGTGGGCGGTCTCGCTTGCCGTGTCCATTCTGCACACCTGTTCCAGGTGAGTCACCTCATGGGTTAGGGACCAGCTCATCGCTGGCTCACGTCCAGAGACGCCTTCAGGAGGCAACCAGATGATTCCCTGGCCACTGTGCCGAGGTCTGGGGGCTCCTGCCCAGGACAGGCAAACAGTCAGTGGAGTGGGACAATCCAAGGACCTCGTCCTCCACCCCAACATGAGGAAGGAGCCCATCGGGCTCGGCTGGACTGAACTGAACACCACAGTGCAAGCAGGTGGCCTGCGCCTGCCCAGCCAGCCAGGAACGATGGCAGCAGGGCAGCAGGGCAGCGGGGGCACAGCCTGTCAGACATGGAGCCCACGGCCTCAGTGGAGGCACCTGGGGAAACACAAGGGCTGGTGCACTGGCCCTAGAGGCAGGGGCATCAGGGAGGTCTTCCTGGAGGAGGTGTCATGGGAACGGGGGCTGGGTGGGTGAGGAGAAGGTCGGGATCTCCAGGAGTGTGGGGGGTCTGAGTGCAGACCTGGAGATGGGACCATGGGCTTGTGAGCCCTGAAGACACAGATGGGCCACCACCGCTTCTCTCACAACCAGTAAGGAGGTGATGACCTTGTGGGGACAGAGAGGAGGGGGCCGGCTCTGTTTAGGGTCACAGAAAGCTTCCCAGAGGGGATGACAGGGGACTGGGCCTTGCTGGACTTCACCAGGGGGAGAAGATGGAGGAAGGGTGTTCAGGTAGCAGGAAGAAGCATGTGCAAAGGCCTGGAGGCATGGGACGTTCAAGAGGGGGGATGCATGTAGATAATTACTATGACAAGAATTTTGTGGACTGGCCGGGCCCTGAAAAGGGCAGAGGCTGCCCAAGGGGTAGGTCCTGAGGCCCTGGGGCAGGGGAAGTGCCCACAGAAGGAGCCCCCAGGGAGCCCAGGAGAGGATGGGCCAGGAGATGAGGGTCCAGAAGCAGATGGCTGAAGAGGGAAAGGAAGGAAGCCCGGGGCAGGGGTGTGGCTGCTGGCTCGTGTCCTGGCACCTGGCCCACAGTGACATGTGTGCTCCAGCCACACCGGCCTGTTTCCCTTTATCCCCAAGCCTGTGCCCGCCTCGTGGCCTCGCCTGTCCTCTCTGCTCAGAGCCCTCACGCGGCTTCTTGCATTGGATGCGAGCTCCATGTCGCTGCCCACGAGGGGCCTTTCCTGACCACCCTGGCTAAGTGGGTCTCGGCCCTCCTGGAAGACAGCCCCGCCTGGAATGAGCTGTTTGCTTGCCCATGAGCTGTGTGTCCTCGGCTGCAGCGTGAGCACCTGGGGAGGTGGCTGGCTGGAGAGGGCACTGGGTGGGACTGGCTGAGAGCCTTCCTCGCCCTGGGAGTCCCCTGGGAGCAGGGCCCTGCAGACTGCCCAGAGCTCAAACAGTGCTCCAGCTCTGCCCTGCTGTGTGACCACAGGCTGGCCACTCCACTTCTCTGAGCCTGAAGTCTCATCTGTAAATGGAGATAAATGTCCACCAAGGGGTTTATATTGCAAGGGCCTGGGACAGTTCAGGCATGTCTGGGTGACCAACAAACATCTGT